CTTAGATGTCCTTGTCTTTTGTAAAATATAAAGAAACGAAAGTGGAAGCACACCATCTCACCTTGATTCACCTGCTAGAAACAAAGCCTCTTTGACAGCTTTCCTATCATATGGCTTCCTCATTCCTTTATACTGCTGCATAGTACTCCATTGAATGGTACTAACAGGCTCTATTGAAACTGCCCCCCTGGGGAGGATATTTAGGTGGTTTCCAGCCCTTAGAGATTTTAAACAATGGTACCGGAAATAACCTTGTAAAAGCAGGTTCTTCATATGCCCCAACCTGTTGGGGTCAGCTCTCACATATGGAATTGCTTGCAGCCTTTAATGCCTGTGGATTTTTTTGTTTTTTGATCGAGGTGTGATTTATGCAACTGTGTTTGAGGGAGCCAAACATCTTCCAGAACATTCCTTAATATGTCCTAAGATCCCATCAGTCTCCTCACTCTGGAAGCTGGCAGTCTTGTTTATTTTGCCCAAGAACTTCTGTTTGTTTTTTTTTTTGTTTTTCAAGACAGGGTTTTTCCTGGCTGTTTGGAACTCACTTTGTAGACCAGGCTGGCCTCGAACTCACTGAGATCCACCTGTCTCTGCCTCCCAAGTGCTGGAACTAAAGGCATGGGCCACTCCCACTGTCTGGCAGCACACAAGAACTTTTTTTTTTTTTTTTTTTTTAAGACTATTGCTTTGGAGGCTGTCCTGGAACTTGCTCTGTAGGCCAGGCTGGCCTCGAACTCACAGAGATCCCACCTGCCTCTGCCTCCCGAGTGCTGGGATTAAAGGTGTGCACCACCACCACCTGACTGCTCAGGAACTTTTTAAGGTTGATTTATACTTTGAGTGTTTGCTTGTGTGTACATGTGTGCACAATGTGCATGCAGGCAGTGCCTGCAGAGGCCCTGGCTGCCTACCCTCTGGAGCTACATTACTGATGTCTGTGAGCTGGCTGCTGGGAACTGAACCCAGGTTCTCTGATCCATTGCTGAGCCATCGCTCACCAGCTCCCAAGAATTTTCTTTTAAGGTTTATTTTATTTTTAGTTTGCATGTGTGCAGTTCCCCCTGAGGCCAGAAGAGGGTGGCAGAGCTTTGGTGTTGGTATTAAAGTTATACACAGGTGCTGGGAACAGAACAAGTTTTTTATTGTATTACAATCACCCTCCCCTCCCTTGTCCCACCAGGACTCCCTTCTACTTTAATACTCTTTTTGCCCACAAAAAAATCTTGAGGGTTTTTTTTTTTTTTTTTTTTTTTTTTTTTTTTTTTTTTTTT